TTGCCAGAAATAATATAGATCTGCTGCATGCATATTGCACGATTAACTTTTAGAGTCATCAGGACTTACCTATACATACTGTGAGTAGAAGTATGTGCTCTAGGGTAGAGCTACGCATTTTTATAAATATTCACATGTTTTTAAATTATATTTATTCACTTCTCTACACCTTGTATCCTTTCTCTTCAGTGGGCATCACTTGACTGAAACTGTGAGACTGTAGAGTGTAGAGCCTCCCTTCCTCGCAAAAGGAAAGGTTTGGCGCATGCGTGGTATTGAGTTCTCCCGCCCCTACTACCCATCAATACCCCTTCTCCCCCCCCTCCTACACCTTCTTCCTGGGGGTGAATGGGTCAAAAAAGTATTTGAGCAGAGCATATTTATTCTCATAAACCTAAAAAAATTAATCATAATATCCCAAAATTCTAATTATTTGTGATTTAATATCTTCAAAAGTTTTGAAGTTTTTAGTGAAATATATAAACCCTTCACACTCTTAATAGAGTTATTACCGCTCAACCATGGCAGCAAGGGTCGGATAAGACGTATAAAGCAGAAAAGGTTCATTTAAGATTATTGAGAATCATACAATGGCACGCAAAAAGTTCGCCTGATTTTCAAAAGAAACGATCCTGCGCACATTAAGCTAAAGTAAATTTCATTTTAGATTTAAATCGGATTTGTTTACATTTACAACTCAAACTCTTTTTCATGAGCAAAATGGTTTTGAAATCCTAAATGGAAGGAACACACATTTTCAATTTACTCACTTCTGGGTGGAAAATCAAAACTGGAGAAATTGAGCGCTCTTACAGTCGTACCTTTAATAAAATGAATTTTACCGTAAACCATGAAATGGGGCCCAATTTTTTACTTTTATGTCATGATAGTTATTAATTGTCTTTAAAGAGATATCTAAATCACCCCGGACTAACCAGAGTGAGAGGCGTTCGGTTTCTTCTATCTAAAGTCATATGCGTTTTGGTTTATAATTAAATAATTTACGGATTTGTTTGTTTAATACTTTTCATTCAAAAAGTATATGTCGGCACAAAGTTATATCAGAAAAAAGGCAAAAAAATTTATGTTTAATATTGACAGAACCTTAAAATCCACGTGCAATAATATATTTTAAAACCCCTTAAATGCCCTTTCGGCGAAGAATGCAGTAAATTATAAAATTTGGGGTTGTTGATGGTCCAAACCTCATTTTCGTGCCACCATATTTCTTGGTATATGTTTGGGTCTGAGTTTTTTCCTTTAAAAAAACTAAAAATGAAATATTTTGATAAAAGTAAAATATATTTATTTTCTCAAAAACCAAATTGAAACCCCAAATATGACCGGAGAGTTATCCCCATTACCACATAATTCAACCAGGAACCTCTGACCCCAAAGTTTGACCGGATTTCAATAATTTAGCGTAAGGTTAAACAAACAGGAAAATATTGTATTTAGCGTAAGGTTAAACAAACAGGAAAATATTGTATTCAGGGGCGTACGAGGGTTGAGTTACTATTATTGCTCTAATAACATTGTCACATACTCATACTGAGCCTCTCATTTCTTTGCAGAACGAAAATTATTATATTAAAATTATTTAAACTATTATATTAAAATTTAAATCTTATTTTTTTAACATTCTGAAAAATTAAACTATATTCTATAGTTTTTACTTTGTCAAGAAAGTCTGGATGTAAAGTTAATATAACGAGCTATTTTTAGATTTTTCTTATTGTTAGTTTAATAAAACTTTACCTAGCTTGAAAATCCATTTTTGCCTGGAGCTTTCTTTGTAAAAGTCAAACAATTCAACTTTTCAATTTTTAAATCAGGCGAAGAACGTTCCCGTGGGGTTTATGAGTTATGATTTGAGGTCCAAACAGACAGACAAACAGAGATTACTGTTTTATATATATATATACTTTGTAAATTATGAAAAGATTCTGAAAGAAAAGGGTAAAAATATTTTGTTTTTAAAATCGAACTTAGATGATTAACATGGGTTTCTTTAAAATCAATCAATTAAATATCTTTATTTAAATTCTATAATATAATAATAATAATAAATTACACTATAATATTGCACAACATTTCATCAAATCACAATCTAATATTCATGGAAAGATACAAACCACATGTTAAAAATAAAATTACAGTAATAGTATCACGCAATTTTATGTATAACCAAATAATCATTCATTTATGTTGTCAGTACATAATAAAATCCATGGGGGACCTTAAACTCAATAGAGAGCAGTACAAATGTACGTATTAAACTATTTTGCTCCTTTAATGTTTAGGGTATGTTAAAAAAAATAGAAATTATGATAATGATAATGATAAGAAGCTACAATGTTTTACAAAAACGTTTAATTTCTCAAAAATATAAAAAATATTCTCCCGGAAAATACGCCATGTTGCTATACGTAGCAGTTTCTTTACGTTGGATTTCTATAAGGTTTGACACCATGATATCGCGGTTTGAAAGTCTTATTTATGCGCCAACTAAATTTTTGATTAATTTTCAAGTTTGTGTTCGTCAGAACTTTGCCCACTGCCCAGTCCTACTTAAACATGAGGAAAACCTTATAAAATCTTAATATTGACAGAGGAGAAAAGGTTAAATCTTGAATGTTCCCGACTAGAAGTTTGGTGCATCAAAACAAGGAATTTAAGGGACTGTCATAGAAATTTTAAGAAATACTCCAGTTAAAGAGCTACATGCTTGATTCACAAGGGTACTCTTTAAACCCAATTCAGTTATCTGTGTAACAACAACAAATTTTAAGTTTTTGTCCTGGTTTCTCCAGTTGCTGCAGAGACAAGAATGAATAACTGAAAAAGTACAAAATAGAAAACGAAGATATCTCCACCACTGTCACTCAGATGGTACCAGGCCCGTAACCAGGGGGGGGGGGGGCAAGGGGAAAAGGGGGGGCAATGACGAATTTGCGACCCCCCCCCAGGTCCATATAAAAGAAATTGTTTCTCATAATTTTCTAAAATCTAAGGCTAAGTGCCTTGGCTATGCTCAACATTCACAGAGATGTCAAACTTGACATCTCTGAAATCAAGAACTTATACAAAGTAAAACATCCTTTAAAGTTTGAACAGTTGGTTAAAAGAAGAAAATTCATCCATTTATTTTGGAATAAAATAGCCATTTTTGGGAGTTTCAAAAACATTATTTTAAGCGAGGATATTTGTCATTTTTAGTCAAAGTAGAAGGGTTTTTTGAGTACTCAAAAATTCACTAAGAATGTCTCAATGTCAATAAATAAACTCTTTGAAACAAAGTATTAGAAATTTTATTTTTATTCATCTTGATAATATCATGATGAGGCCGAGGGACAAGAAGCCTTGATTTTAAATAATGAATTTTTTCCTTAAGCTAAAGTACCATTCATTTTTTTTTATGTATATTGTATATGTAAACTGAAAAGTTTCAGACACTAAAATGTAACCCTTAAAAGCTTAAATACACTTGTTAAAAATGTTAGTCTTTATAGCGTACATTGGCAATGTAATAGAGAAAACCATATACCACCGTAAAAACAAACCAAGCATTGTTTTTTTTTTAAAAAAACCAAAAAAAATGTTTCGCCAGCGGCGCGATTCTTTCCACCCCCGCTGGAAAAATTATGGTTACGGGCCTGGATGGTACCGTTCTAAATTGGACATGTCACTCGTTCAATGAAGGATAATTTAATTCATAAACTATGGAAAGGGCAGACGCAAAAAGATCTATTCTTAATTTTAATTTGAACTGAAAAAGATTTTTCCTCATTTTGGCAAACAAAGGTTCGAGAGATAGGTTTGTTTACGCATTTTACTGTGACATTTTTAAATTTTTTACGTCACATTGATTATAGAAACAAGAACTCTGAGTTGATGGTTATTATGTAGAAATAACTTGTTTTCATCACAAGTTATTAAACCCCTTATAAATGAGTGCTAGGTAGACCCATACTAATCAGTTTTCTACATCTTTCTCGGATATCCAGGAAACTATATTTCCGGTCAATCTGGTCCAGTAGGAGAGGGTCAGAGATTCGGGTAGGAAGCAGAGCTGGAGGAGAACCTGGAGAATGAACCTCAACCTCAGTTTTTACGGTTCTGCTGCGGGTTAGATCAGATTTAGAACTGGTAGAACTATCACTGTGCGTCACATAGTAGAAGGATGTTTTATCCTCCCACCTCGTCCCCTTTCCATTCCTCTTCTCCTCCTTCATCTCTGTCCTTTTCTCCTCTCTAATCTCCTTTTTTATCTCCTTATTTTCATCAATTATTTCTTTGTCGTTCATCTTTCTCTGATTTGGGAGAAATTTGAAAGTTGAGAGAGAAGTTTTCCAGTTTTTATCTCTGCTCCCTTGAACTTGGAGTTCCAATAATTTTCCCTCGGATTTACTTTTCTTTTCTTTTTCAGCACTATCTGCAGAGGTTTGGACGCCGACATTTTCGGACGAACTAGTTTTTTCAACATTCTGATTTTTTTCTTTTTTTAACTTTTGCCGTGAGCTCTCTTTTTTCACTTTCTTTGCAGCACTCTCTTTTTGCACTTTCTGCGCAGAACGATTAGAATCAGCCTTCTGCGCAGAACGATTAGAATCAGCCTTCTGCGCAGAATTTCTCGAATCTGATCTCTCTGGTGATGTATCTCTTTGTACTATACTGTACTTAGGAAAGAAGTTGACCTTCGTGACAGAAGATACAGTTCCTATATTTGAAATAAACATTAAACAATCAATAAATCGATTTTAAAATTTTAAAATTTCGATCAGCACAAAAATGGCGACATTCTAAAGGGATTTTGAGATCGGTATTTTTCATTTTTCATTTACATCGTTGTTCAGACAATATTAAAAAATATTTTAAAAATTACGTTTGTTACAACGTTTCTGATTTGTAAAGTTCTGAAAAAAAACAGTGAAAACGTATTTGTCTCAAAAATGTTTTTTGTTTATTTGAAAAAATCAATTACAAAACAGAAAAATTGTTTATATTCCTATTGGTGTCTTGGAAGCCCCTGACGTCACGCTTTTCAAGGAGTTGATATCTCCCTCTTTCTGCGCTTCCACCTTTCCTCCTTCTCCTCCTTCTCCTTCTTCTCCTCTTTTTCGTCTCCTTCGCAAGGAGTCCAGGGAAGAATATACCAAAGTCTAAAACAACATTAAAATTAAGTTACTCATTACAATTTAAAAAAAAAAGTAAAATAATAATGGCGTGAATGTCATTTTTTTATATTTTTTAGGTATTGTAACTAGAATAAGATATGTTCAGAGTTTCTAATAAAAATTAAGATTTTTTGTCTATTTTTAGCACAAAGTACACCAAATCAAAATGTCAGAAGTTTTACTCTGCACGAAATGAAACCGGAACTAAATCTAACAACAAATTATGTCAATTCTAACATTCCAACAGGATTCATCCTTTCATTTTTTGTTGCCGAAAAATTTCTAAAAAGGGGGTCGTTTCTATATACCTTTTTCAATATACACATTATACTTTTAATTGCAAGTTCAATCCTACCGCTCGCAAGTCGCAATATATATATAATTTAAGGACCTCAGCTCATACAATAATCCGAGTTACAAAAAATTGGGGTATAATTTTCAAATCGCATAACAATCCCTTGTCTGTCAATTATTTGGCTGTTTTTTATTTGGCTATAGATAATCAAAATAATGTAAAAGACAGGCCAATTAAGTTACCGTTCGAGTACAGAACCTCGCGTTAAATCTTAAAAACTTCGAAATTCCGTTTCTGAACTGAAACATGTCCGTTTATTGTTTAAGCTATTGTTCATTTTAAACTCATCTTAACGTTCACAGCTGTAAATTAACAGTTTTTACATTATCTTTAATACACTTCTTTTCATTACCTGAAAATTTTCCAGCCTACCTTTATGAGATTCTGAATATTAAATTTTAATTCAGGCTTTAACTCTATTTATTGCTAAATAAGTTTTTAAATGTATAGACTTTATGTGTAAGTTGTTTTCTAAGAATATATTCTGAGGTTGTTTTATTATTATTACAAAAACTGGGGTATTCTTTTTAAACAGCTCAGCCAACCCATTAAAGGAAATATTGACTGTCAATTATATGACAGTTTTTTTTATTTGTCGGGCTAATAAAAATAACTAAGAGACGGTTAACAGAATTTATCGTTAAATCTTATTAACTTCCGTTCTTAATGTTTGCAGCTAAAAATTACTATTTTTTCTGTTCGTTGACAAACTTTTACGGTAATTTTCATAAACTTCCGTTCATAACAGAAACCTGTCCAGTGTCCAGCCTACCTTTAAGATATACTGATTTCGTTTTGAAGCAGCAAATACTGCTGCTACAGCTGCTACCACAACAAGGCAGGAGCAGCCAATGAGAGACAAGGAGACCTCCCTCCTTTTCTCCTCCATCCTACCCGTCATACTCGACACCACATACTCAAACTCATCATCCTAGGTTTGAAACAGATTTGAGGCTTACATGTCGTCTTTGATTATTTTACGGAATCTCAGTTTTACAATGTAAGTATTTAATTTCATAAACAGAGTAAAGGGTTTCCATTTCTTTAATTTTAAAAGGAAGTGAGTTTTTGCCACTAACTCAAATTTTCTAATCCCTATATCTTTGCAACATGATGGTGAATCTTTGATATATCAAACCAAGAATCTTTAATCTAACAGAATTCTGAAAGAGTTTGCAGCAAAAAAAGCTTACTTTCTTTCGTTCCGAAATGTTTGAATTCAGAATTATCTAAATATTTCTTTTTGAAATATTAGTCTTTCTGATGGTTGAAATATTTATTTCAGAATAATTTTTTTTGGAAAATGTGGAAAATGGAACTAAAATCTTAAAACTCTATCTTTGCAACCTGGTCATGGACAGGTTGCATTATTAAAATAATAACAATGATCATAGACAGGTTGCATTATTAAAATAATAACAATCGTTTCTGCAGATATTTAGAATCTAAGTTTATATGAAAAAGGCTCGCATATCTCAAGAAATGGGATTATCTATACTTCTCAAGAAATACTCATGTTGAACGGGACACACTGTACGTGCCTGAGGATAGACTTTTTAAATTTATATAATTATTGTCATAAATTTCATAAAGTTTTTAGAAAAAAGAAAATTTAAAAATTATCTGAATTTTACTTTACTAAAATATTAGTGTTTCAAATATTAGACTGAAGAAGACTTCTCAAGAAGAATAAGCATGTTTTCATATTTTATAGATGTGCATAATAATAATACTAATCTACAATTTTATCACAAAAAAATAATGATGTTTTTTCTTCTCTCCTTAACAAGATTTTTTTGGATTATTTGGAAATTAATTTTGGAGAAAAATATTTTTTTTAAGTAGTTCTTTTATTTTTTGTGAAACTTTTAGAAACTTAAAATGAAAAAATTTATCTTAAACTATATTTTTGTATTGAACTGATAAAGAAAAAGCTGAAAAAGAAACTGATTATCGGACAGAAAAAAATTACTTCTCAACTAATTTTCTTTTATCGTTTCCCTACTTCAAAATTTATGAGCACTCTCTTTAAAAGTCAAATAAATCCTGAAACCTTGTTGATGGCCAACTGGCCGGCAGCTACTAGAAGATTGGACGCGGCAAACCCGCGCAATCGAACACGTGACTCAGTTCCGTTAACAGCTGATACTCGCAGTACAGTTTCAGGGCTCATGGTCTAAATGTAAACAAACACAATTAGAATCTAATTAATAGATAAAACATTTCCAACTTCCAAGTTTTTATTTTTAATTTAAGTTTTGCAGTGATTTAAAGGATGAAATATTTCATCTTCGCCACACAGTACAGTACATAAAAAAAGATAAAGTACATTGTATTGCATACAGAGGTTTCCGTAAGAAAGACAAACTAATTTGAAAATTAAATTAAACATAATTTTATAATTATTCTAAATTATATTGCACAGATGCATAGAATGGAAATAAGTGTATGCAATGCACTGTATAGTGTATAGCTCCATGAGGCTCCGAATTTGAAATACAAGACTAACAAATCTCTCTCTTCTAGTTGCAGTACATATTTTTGTACCTGTAATATATCTAGATCTATCTCCGGGTCCAGGTAAACACTCTCAACCTTCTCCAAGTACATACTAATCAGACTTGTCGGAGACAGACGGATATAATCTAAACAAGTTTAAAACTAGGCGGAAAGAATAAATAAAATAGAATCAGACCTATGCAGAAGTGCCGATCGACAATTTTACTGGATGGTTGTGTGCCCTTTATAAAAAACCACGAACACTCCCTTTAAGAAGAATTAAGGCTTGTCAAAAAGTAAAATGAAAAATATATCTAATAAATAAATCCAGAATATGTAAATAGAAAGCATTATCTAAATAATCGATAAAACCTTTCTTTTCCTTAATTTTTGTAACAATTGGTTTATCATCGATAGTTTAAAAACTTTATTTTGCGAATTACATTAAAATTACAGCACGGCGTAAACCTTTTGCTTCATAATTAAATTAAATTTTTCGTAAACACTCCCTTTAAAGGAACTGTAAACGTGATCTCGAGTGACCCTGCATTGATAGATTTGTATGTTTAATTCACAACGGTACCCTAAAGCTTTGTTTGATCAAGTTTTATTATATATCCATGTTATTGCTTTTGAAAGCTGATTACTTTCATTTATGGTTTCTTTATAGAAGTAACTGTCGCATTTCTTGCTTTAGAAACAGTGGAGAAATTATCAGAATCAAACAGTTTTATGATAGAAAAACGAAGTTATCTTCAACATTATTGATCAGATTACGAATTAAAGGGTATCGGTGTAAATCGAACACACCCCTCCTAAAAAGGAGGGTCACTGAAAATTTAAGATTTAAACGATTTGAAATTAAACATAAAAATAATATGTTTTACTAAATAATAATTTCCTATTGAAAAAAAAACAAACAATTAAATTCTAATCCGCCCCCCAGGAGGAGAAATCATCATTACATGGTAAATATATAATAGTTGTTCTCATGTCACAAAACAACTAATATTTAACAGAATTCAAATATTAAGTTTTCGCTTTTATTTTAGTCTTAATAGATATATATACACATTAATGATATAAAATATAGATATACACACATTAATGATATAAAATATAGATATACACACATTAATGATATAAAATATTCCGGTATTAATTACACACCCAATTACTAACCATTACAATTACTAACCATGGCTAGATGCGTCAGTTTATCCAATTTGAATTCAATTGCGTATTGCGTATAATTCAACAATCTTTAAACTCGCAGTTTTTTCCTGTTTTTACTTTTTCCTTCAAAACCCCTCAGAATTTCAGTCAAAGTGTTAAAAAATCACAAATGGAAAAGACTGTTAAATGAGTGCGTGTGGTTATCCGTATTGACCCGGAAATAATTACTAACTTTGATTGAGCAAGAAATTATCCCTTAAACAAAAGTGTTCACAGTTAATACCGAGATCAAACTTTGTAGCTTAGCGCCATTTCAAATATAAGTTTTGTAATAAAAGTTGTTGAATCAAGATTATCCTCTACTTATTTACAAAAAAAAGCATTTAATCTCACTAATGCTTAAAAACACCGAATCATCAAAAACCGCACTGTGACCCGTAAAAAATGTAAACAAGAAAGTCAGGACGCATTGTGCCCCCTCCTTAATACTTTTGCAAAGTTTTGGTGGTTGACTGGTTGGTGGTTTGAGATCTAGTGGGACGAGCTAAAAAAATGCATGTCTGAATTATTTAAAACTTATAAGAAAGGAAATTGGTTAATTACATTTTCTTGTTCTCTGAGAAAATGAATGATTTTGTAATAATTTTAGTGTTTAATGATGTTACTGTTTTAAAATAGATATATAATGGTTCACCACTAATAGTTGAATTGAGGAGGATAGTCTAAGAAAAGATTATTAATTAAAATAGGAAAACCCAGAACTCTAAAAATGTCGAACGATAATTGTTTCATTAGAATCTTTTTTTTTAGTATTTTGTATTTTTATGTAAAGGTCAAAGAAATCATTAAGAATGTGTTTTCCATGTATAAGTTGGAGATAATGGGGTTTAAACCAAATATGGAAATATAGGTCAGAGAAAATTCGTGAGTTTTTTTAGTCTGCTATCGAACTATAAAAAGATAAACAGTATGTATTTACCAGCTGAAGGTTCCGGCGTTGCCAGTGAAAAATTTTTTTTAAAAAAATTGGATGTAAAATGTTAAAAAAAAGATTTAGATTTTTTAGCCTAAAACACCCATGAGTGTCCACAAAAAATTTCAGCCCAATCGGTCCACCCGTTTGGCCGGCTAAACGCAACATATATACATATACAGGGTGTCCCACGAAACATGACAGTATGCAGGACGACTTAAATGTCGTCTTGATTTTTGATATAATTTGCTGTGTTTTTTTGTCAATCTAATTTTAGAAGTAAATTTCTAGAGATAATAATCACAAAATTTCCCTTGTCCTGCCATTTCCAAAATGTGGTCTGCCTTTTTTGTGCTTTCAATATTGCCCGAGATATGAAGAATTTCGTTCAGATTTCGACAATTTTGCTTTTATTTAACAAAATTGAAATCTGAACCAAACTCTTTATATCTCCGGTAATATTGAAAGCACAAAAAACGCAGACCACTTTTTGGAAATGCCAGGGCTAGGAGAATTATGTTATAATTGTTTCAAGAATCCTACATGTTAAAGTAGATAGAAGACTAAATGTCACAAATAAATTCAAATATCAAAGACGACTTTCAAGTCGTCTTCCTATTGTCATGTTTCGTGGGACACCCTGTATATATATATATACAAATGTTTTGTTTTATTATATAGATTGTCATAGTGTATCTAGTAGATATCTAATCTCCAAGAATAAGACAAGATGGACTATTAAAGAGATGGTCGACGTAAACTATTCAAAGAGTTCCAGGATTCAGAACTGTTCATTTAAAATCGTATCTGAAGAATGTATCATTCATTGTTCATTGTTTTTCTATTGTTTATTCTGTCAATTTCCTTCCTTTTTCTTTTGCACAAATACCCTAGTAGAGAATCACAATTTAAAACTATAAATTTTCAGATAGAAAAAAAGAATATCTCAATCATTTTTGCGCAGTGAACCATAAATGTAAATATTTTAATGAAGGATCGCTGGAAAATACATAGACTATAATATAAAAACGAAAACCTTAAGTTTTATTTATTTTCTTTGCAAACTAGAATTCCTGCCAGCCATGGGATAAAGAAACGACATAAAATATGGCTGGGTTCTGTTTTTATATTTATTATGAAATATGTTGACATTGCTAAATCCCCGTCATGGGAATAATTTTCAAAATGGCCGTACACTAGCATCCATCAGTTTTCAAAATGGCCGAACTAACATCCATTTTAAGTTTAACCAAGGTCAAGGAGATAATAAATACATCTTAAATGCAAGAATCACATGGATTTGTTTAAAACTCCGCACGTTTAAAATAAATATTGCTAGAACCTGACATCTTATCAATGTCAAACAGAGTGAACCCATTACCCTGGGGAATAAAAAGACGACGATTGAACTCGAGATATTATTTTTAAATGTTTTACGAGAACAGCAATTATAACAAATTAGACACGTACCTATTTTGGTCCATAAGGGGATTTTCAAGATATACAAGTAACATTTTTTGCTTTATGACAACATGAGATACACACAAGATATTGCTTAAATGTATTTTTTTATAATTTACTATGCTTACTTTTTGCTTTAACAAATCATATTTATTTTATGTTTTATATTATGTTTTATAGATATTACTGTACAAATATTAAAAGTTAAAACCCTAAAATTTCATTGCAAAACATCTACGAATGTTTGTTTTCCTAATTTTGCAGGTCTATGTGCGAAACCACCACTTTTTATGCATTACTTTAAACATTTGATAAAATACAGATTCTAGAGAATTCAATTTTTTAATACTGAAAATACTTGCCTGGAGAAAATAAACCAGGAACCATTTTTGCAACATTAGGTGTCCCCTCCAATCTTAACTAAAAATAGTCATGATTCTAAATGTTTTTTTACGACAAGGCAATTCCAGATTTAAAACATGAAAAAAATTTGAAATTTTTTTTCTTCAAAACTTAAAAAATTTAATTTGATAAAGATCCAAGAATGATTCTTTGGATAAAAATACTTTTGTATAGAATTCTATTTCTTTTTGCTTATATTTGACATTCTTTGGTAGGAATTTTGCATTTTAATTTCATGATTATTTTTTGTTTTTAAATTGAACATCGTGTGCTTATTCTTTTCTTTTTGGAATTCAATATAATTTTGTGTTTTTTTAAAATCAATTTCAAAAAAAGAACTCATAGAAATATTTGGGGAGGTAAAATTACCAAACTGAATTATTTTCTTTTTGCCAAAAAAAATACAAGCATTTTAAAACATATAATAAATTTCTTGATTTATATTTTAAAAAAAAGATTACATCTTTGAACATTTTACATGCAGAGTGTCCCAATTAACATGGAAATTATGTGACGATTTTTTATTTTTCTCCGATCCAAGACATTCATTCAATCTTTAATCGAATAATATTTGAAATAAACCTAAAGCCGACGAATTCTGTGATTTCCAAAATATGGTCTGCTTGTTTTTGTGTTTTGTGATTATAGACCGTAGATCACACCACACTTTGAAAACTTAAGCGTTGCACAAAAACATTTTAATAAAAAATTTGTCCAATTTTTTAAAATCGGAGATGATTACAATGTTGCCACTTAATTACCATTTACCATTTACCATTTTTCTGAAAACTTCTGTTAGAAAGGTAAACCTTATAATAAAATACTTTTATTTTTGTTTGAATTTGATGTGAAAGTATTGTTATGGTCTGGTTGCAGAACAACGATTAGTTATACCGACAAATAAATCTTTCAAAAAGTGGGAAATTGCTGAGTTGTCAGTTTCATGTTCTTGTATCCGATGATGAATGTATTTTATAACCTTGAAAAACCACATGCAACCTCAAGATTGTTAAAGGATTTGTAGGTCGTTATTCAAGTCTCATACTGTATGGGAAACCATGTAATTTTTCAATTTATAATACCTGAGATATATTTTTAAGGCCTAGTTTTGAAATATAAAGATCCGGCCGAAAATATGCAGAATTCACTTTATAAAGGTCGTCCTCGTCCATATAAACAGATGCTGACCAACAGTCGCTAAAAAGAATGCTATATAAATAATCAAATTTTGTAAAAAAAAATGTTTGACTATAATGATTGTTTTTTTGTTGTTATCTTATATTCATTTAATTATTAACATTATTAACTTATTTTTCTTTAATCTATTTATTTTTTATTTTATTTAGACCCAGATCTGCAGCTTACAAAACTATTTTTCGTATAGAAATCTAAGGATTCGATTCTTGCATCTTTTCTATCAGTCATCCTTTCTATCAGTCATCCTTTCTATCAGTCATCCTTTCTATAAGTTCTTCTTTCTATCAGTCATCCTTTCTATCAGTCATCCTTTCTATCAGTCATCCTTTCTATCATTTACCCATTCTATCATTCATCCTTTCTATCATTCATACTTTCTATTATCCATCTTTTCTATTTTTCATTCTTTTCTTTTTTTTCTATACTTCCTTTCTACTATTATTGTATTGTATTGTATACCGTATTTGAATGATGATATTTCTGTCGAATACATCTTGTGAGAGGTTAGACACTAGGCTGGCCAGGCTTATCTTAACCTCCATCTCCATCTCTCTATTCCTGTTCATAGATAAATAGAGATTGTATCTTTTAGATAAACTGAGATGGAACTGCTCCTGGACAAGTAAACAAGAATTTACGATAAACTACGAGAAACTTTGGAGTGATTGAAGTAATTATGAAATTTTTCTTGATTTTGTAAAGGAATTGAGCCTTTGCCACAAGCTCTGATTTTCCAATCACTATATCTTTGCAACCCAATATCGTAGGCCTCAAATTTTTCCAAATATCAAAATTTTACATCACTAGGTTGCAAAGCTATAGGATTAGAAAATTTAAGTTGTGGCAAAGACTCAATTCTTGTTCATGTTCATTATTTAAGATATCAATTAGTTGAAAATAAAAAATTTCCTGACTGGAGAAAATAAAGAAGACGACAATCATTTCTCTGTTTTCTGGTTGATACTGTTTACCTGGCACAAGTACAGGTTAAGTTGAATTCCTTTGAACCAGGACTAACTCTGGGTTGGGGAAAGCAGACAAGATCTTTCTCTCTCTTCTCTCTCTTCTCTCCGTCCTGAGAAACCGTCCATGATCCTTGTTCCTCCCGTCCTTGTTGTATTCCTCGGAGAAATCCTCCGTCCTGGTTCCAGTTCTCAGGGTCCAGTTGGAAACCTCCCTCCCTGCCTGACCAGCCTTCATCTATCTCCGGTCTCTCTTGATCATAGAGAACTCGACCACTACCTGCTCTACCAGGCATACCGCCATTTTGGACATTTTTCAGATTTTTTCTAATTTCAACACCTTTTTTAGTCGTTTCGATTCCTCTACTTTTAATCCAGGTCTGATCTCCGCCTTCTTTTAGCGATCTTCCGCCCTGCGTAATCACTGCATATCCGCTGTGACGGAATGCTTCAGGGCGGAATGATGGAACTCGAATGTTATTTGATCCGCCGGCGGTGTTCCGAATAAATCCTCCAGTGTCTGTGAGCTGGGCAGCAGCTATAGTAATGAGGTTTATAAAACTCCACATGGTTATAGTCAATGCTAGCTTCCTCTGCCGATTCATTCTAAAACAGAAAAAGTTAATTACAAATAAAGAAGATCTTTTTTTCCCCAACTCTGAAACAAAGTTTTTCAGTTTTGAGTCAAATTCAAGATTTATGTGATTAGTTTCTAATTTATTGCGCACTTGATAATTAGATTTCTAGAATTAATTCGGGCATTCACATCAAACACAGTACACACTGTCCATTTCAATCATAGTTTTAGATTGTTCCTTTTTTATTTTAGGAACAATGATCAAAGACAAAAAATTATATAAATAGGATTTTCAAAAGTATTAATTCTGGGATCTGGAATCAGATTTAATAATTATCGAGACGTAGTTGAGCTGCGTAGATGTGATTGAACAGACGTTTATGTTTATGAAGTTTCATTGTCATATCAATCATCAAGCCACTAGCCAGATGTAAGTGTTCAATAGGTAAAACTTTCTTTATTCTACTTTGATAGAAAGGACTATCTTCGGTCTACGTTAATATAGGTAGAACTTTCTTTATTCTACTTTGATAGATAGAACTGTCTTCAGTCTACTTTGATAGCTATTACTGTCTTTTGTTTACTTGTTGGTAGATAGAACTGTCTTTAGTCAACTTTGATAGATAGAACTGTCTTCACACTACTTTGATAGATAAAACTGTCTTCAGTCTATAACTTTGATAGGTATAAGAATTGTCCTTAGTCTACTTTGATAGGTAGGACTGTCCTTAGTCTACTTTTATAGATAGAACTGTATTCAGTCTACGTTTATGGATAGAACTGTCTTTAGTCTACCTTGATAGATAGAACTGTCTTCAGACTACTTTGATAGATAGAACTGTTTTCATTCTACTTTAATAGGTAGGACTGTCTTTAGTCTACTTTGATAGATAGAACTGTCTTCAGTCTACTTTAATAGATAGAACTGTTTTTTGTCTACTTTGATAGATAGAACTGTCTTCAGTCTATAACTTTGATAGGTATAAGAACTGTCCTTAGTCTACTTTGATAGGTAGAATTGTCTTTTGTCCTCGTATCACCTCGTATCACCTCTAACTTTGATGAGACAAGCAAATATATCTGGTCACATGTAAGAGAATTAGGAAACATGTTTTTTCTTCTGAATTAGCTCTTCAATAAAAAGAGCTCTGATAAAAAACATTCAGGTTTTCAATTACGCACGATTTACTTTAGTTTCACGTTTTTCTGGATATCCTTTAATATGTTTAGTTATGAAGAAAAACTACTCCATTAAGAATATTGGAGGAAACAGAAAACAAATCCGTGCATGAGTATGCACTGTGTAATAGGGCTGGGCAAAGTTCCATCAACGAAACGGAGGGTTTTGAAAATTAACAGAAAAGTCAGTTAGCGTGCGGCAAACCCCGTTAATTTTAAATTGTTAATTAACGAAAATATGTACGGTTGAAAAAACAACTGATGTGTTTTAAAAGAACGGAGTCTATCCTTCTTTTTCCTGTCTGCTTAAACTTGCATAAAACTTACAGAAAATAAAAGATTATCTTTCATGTTTTTTGATGTTTTCAAACACCGTCTTCTCATTTTTTCATCGTTTATTTGTTGAATTACAGAAATTTATGCATTTTGATGATTTTAAATGTTGTCTTCAAATTTGTCCAGCTATTTTTGCATAATCTTTAACGAATCGTTAACGGCTGTCACCATTAACATTTTCTAGAATATTTGCCATTAACGCCGTTAATAATATTGAGATCGTTAGCATACAGTAGCTTTTAAAAAAACTGAAAATGCCGTTTTTTAGTTAAAAAACGAATGGCTTATTGAAAAAACTGCTAACGGTTTTAACTGACAGTTAACTAACGGCTAGATCAAAGTCTGAACGTGCCCAGCCCTAACAGTATACACTGTATGTATACACTGTATGTATATATACACTGTATGTATACACTGTATATATACACTGTATATATACACTGTATGTATACACTGTATGTATATATATACACTGTATGTATACACTGTATATAAACTCTGTATGTATACACTGTATGTATATATACACTGTATGTATACACTGTATGTATATATAAACTGTATGTATACACTGTATGTATACACAGTATATATACACTGTATGTATACACTGTATGTATATATAAACTGAATATATGTAATTTATCATTCTTCGTTCTCCTCCCAACTCTATTATGCTCTGATTAGATTTTCTCACATTTTCTCCTCTACATAAGTATTATTGCTCAAATCTTTAATATTGTTTGTCTTAAATTACCAATAGTTTTTTCGACTTTTCTAAGATGAATCAGTTAGAAATTAGATTTCAAAAACTTAGAAACAATTATTCAACTTTGTTGAAAATAAAAAAATATTCTTAAATCTTGTTCGATCATCCCCTTTCTAAACTTTTTACTTTCTATGGTTGCATTTAATAAGATTTTGATTTGTAAAAACTTATAGAAAAAGAAATTCCAATTAAATTTTCAAGAATCATAAAAATATGTTCACACAATTTTTTTTGGTTAATTCGGTTCTGCCTTTTATGACCATCCGATATTAGGGTTTCCACGAAATGGCTAAATCTTTTGCGCAAAATTTGCGCTATTTTCGCGCAACTTTTTTTCCAAACTTTTGCGCTATTTTTGCGCATGAAACGCAATGATTTTTGCGCTATTTTTTGCGCAATTTGCGAAAAACCGGAAATATTTTTTGCGAAAGTTGCGCATGAAACAAAATTTTCGTTTTGCGCAATTTTTTTGTGCAATTTGAGCAAAACCGCAAGTTTTACGCAAAATGTAACTTTTTAGGCACATTGTCACTGAGACCATTGTAGTNTACAAAGTACAAAGTACAAAGTACAAAGTACAAAGTACAAAGTACAAAGTACAAAGTAAAAAGTAAAAAGTAAAAAGTAAAAAGTACAAATTACAAAGTACAAAGTACAAAGTTCAAATTACGAAGTACAAAGTACTAAATATTTAAAATAGATGGATGAATGAGATGATAAAAATATACATAAATTAACATGGAAATAAATATCAAAATAAACCAATAAATAGATGGAATTAGTCTTTAAAATAAACCAATAGATAAATGGAATTAGACTTCAAAATATACCAATAGATGGACGGAAATGGATTGCCAATATATGATATTAAATAAATATATAATCATTATTATCTATAATATATCAATAGATGGATGTAAATAGACGACCAAATATACCAATATTTATTTGAAAATAGACTCTTTAATTTATCATCTGTTATTAGAAAATGTACTTTTAATTATACCAACAGATATATGGAAATAGACTTTCCAATGTACCAAATAGAAAAATGGAAGTGTTTGCAAAATATACTAATAAGATAATGGAATACAGGCTACCATAGGAAATGAGTCTTTGCCACAAACTAAAATTTTTATCCCTATTTCTTCGCAACTTGATTGTGAAAACCTTTGATTTTTTAAACTAAGATTAATTTAACCAATAGTATAATTCATAGTTTGAAATATCAAAGGTTACGACAATGGATTGCAAAGATAAAGGGATTACAAAATCATAATTTGTAGCAAAGATTCAATTCCTTTACAAATAAATAGATGGAAATAGACTACCAAATATACCAATAGATAGATGAAACTATACTGCTAAATATACTAATATAAAGATGGAAATGTACTTCCAAAACAGGGCATGGATTAGATGATCGATGCTTAATATAGACAGATAAAAATGGAGATGGTCTATATAAAAACGGGTCTAGTTAAAAAAGAATGTCCAACAAAAAAAACCAGAAAAAGGTATAAATTTAGCATGTATACAATGGGAACCACTGAAAGAGATTTCTATAATTAACAGTGTTGTTCTCTGGTTCTAAGTTCCGGGTGATTAAACATGAATTAATAAACTCAGATGTTAGGATGAGATGCAGGATAAACCATGAGAAGGAGAGAAACCTAGGCATCCATCTTGAAAAATCAGCTGATCGGATAAATAGAAGATTTCATATTTGATGTTATCACGATTAGTAAATAATGGCACAATCTTTTGTTTAGAAATATTTGAGTATTAGGAAACCAATGTTATATATATAGATAATAAATATATGGTATATATATATATAGATAATAAATATATGGTAAATATATATATAAATATATATATATAAATATATAAATATAAAAATATCTTCGTCACGATCAGATTAGATTCAATTGATAAAGAGAACACACGTGTCAGTTACATAATCCTGACAGATAATGGATTAGCCGTGGTAATTTTTATTTGATGGGGGGGGGGGTGTAGCAGTAGACTTTATTTATTTTATTATTCATTAAATCCGTGACCTTCATATCAGGACTTAAAAAGTGGAATTGCCTGAAAAGAATTAACACATTTAGTTTAAAACTTGGTGGAGTAAAAGTTACCCTACTTGGACTATAGCAGATAAAGTGTTAATGAGAAGAATAAAATTGTGTTAAACTTTTAGTGTGTGAAGAGCGGGGGGAAGGCAGGCGGCCATAAGCCACAACATTTTTCCCTTTCATGCCACATATTAGCTTTTTTGTCTTCCGACAGCCATGAGCCACAACCGTACGGTCTTCCATGCCACAACATTTGAGCCTTCCGGCAATTATTACGTTTTTAAATGACGAATTTAGTGCATTAAATTTGCAATTTTCATAAATCCAGATGCATTCGCTGATTTACATTTTACAAAGAAAATTTTACATTATTTTACGAATTGTGGGCACTGAGACAAATTGTTTTAGGTATTCTAAAGAGTAAGAAAAGATGAGAAATATCACAATAATAACCGTCATTACCTAAGCGTTACAGATTTCCACCAAAAAAAAATCTATTTTGAAATTTTCTCGTTAAATAGTGGAAATTTTCTGCTATGGGCTCTTTTGAACTTAAAAAGTATGTTATGGTGCATCATTTATATATTTCATTATGTTTTCAAATATAAGCAATCCTAGACGAAAGTTTTAATTTATTTTTGTGGATGAATACCTTGGAGTTTACACAAAAGGAATCAGCATTATTTCAATTTAAAACTTAAATATAAAGATCTTTATATATATCTTTTGCATGACGTCGCTGGATTTTTGAAAATTGAAAAATGAACAAAATTTACCATTTGAAAACGTAATATTTGCCGGAATACTCAAATGCTGTGGCATGGAAGACCGTACGGTTGTGGCTCATGCCTGCTGGAATACAAAAAAGCTACTGAAAACAATAGACTGGAATGTGGAAAACTCGAAAAAAACTTTTAAACTTTCTGTTCCATAATCAATTGATACATAAAACCATACAGACGAAATAAAAACAAACCGCAGATTCAACCCTAAAAACAAACCACAAACATACAAAAAACAGGAATTCTACGCAGTCACCAAGCAAATAATAGAATCTACGCGCCAGATGAGAACTTACCCCTGATTGTTCCCATCATTCAAGTCTATCCTCTCAATATTATCACTTTCACTACCATCTCACTACTGATAGTAATTTCAACGCCGGTCTCAGCTCTCAGACTGAAGATATTTACGCGATTGGAAGGGGGAAGGGGGACAATGAAGATAGGTTTAACTTGACCTAGGTCTAAAGATAAACTCTCCCCAACTTTCCTATACGCTATACACTATACTTGATAACAGGCATTGGTGAAACAAAGAATGGGGTTACATAGCGCGTTCGACGCATGATACGCTTGTCTAAAATTCAATATTTTCACGGTCTCAATGTTTAGTTTGATATAACGACATATACAAAGGGTGCTAACTTAAGGTCATGGCTATAAAAGTGAAGTGATTTTAACTTTAGAACCCATATTTACTCATTTAATGCTGATTTTTTAAAATTTAAATTTTTTACTTTTTTGTTGGGCAATATGTATGCTTAATATTTATGTTCAAATGGTTTTTACGCTATTTTTGACGGATCCTAAATGAGAGATTAAATTATGACTGAAAATATTCCATGGTTAGTTTTACGTGACAGACATTTATTAAAAGACTTAAATTATCGTTTTGTTTAAAAACCATGATGCTTTATTTTTTAGAACCCGAGTTTAAACATTAAAAGTATCCAATTATTTTATACTTTCTTGGTGGTCTCTGCACTGTACGTTTTAAATATTAATGCATGACACAGAGATCCAGAGAGCTATGCAAATTATGAATAAAGGAATTGAGTTTTTGCCACAAACTCTGATTTTAGAATCCATATATCTTTGCATCCCAATGTCGTAGACCTTAGATATTTCAAACTATGAATTCTGTTAGATAAAATACTCACAGTTTAAAAGATCAAGTGTTTACACAATCTGGTTGAAAAGATATCGGGATTAGAAAATTTGCATTTGTGGCAAAGACTCAATTCCTTTTCTACTTTAAAGTGTGGGTAACTTTTAAGTGTCGCCAATCCTTGGCTTTTTTGTTTGACATTACTGACTCACTGATACTTTGTGTAGCCCTAGACAATAGTCATATTAATTTTAAACGAAAAAGCACGTGTTTCTTGTAGTTTTAAATAAATAATTTGCAAAATTCTCATCAATTTGGCGCGAGAGCTCACAGCCTTTGGATCAATGTGAACATGCTCTCACGTTAAAATCTTTCTCCGTTTTTCAAATTATTTTTTTCTTTTGAAGTGAAACGATACAGTTTTAAAATTTACATGTCACTGTCTTTAGGCTACAATTAAGTATCAGCGAGCTATTGGGGGTTGGATGATCAATAATTACATATTAAAAGGGAATTGATTTTAAATTTTTATTAAGCCCGGGCATTTTAGTTTAGTGTTAGTATCTAGTTTAGCATTAGTGTATATGTTAAGCATTCGGTGAATAGAGTGTTTAAATGAGAATCAAATATACTTACAAAAATCACTGTGCATGGTAGATTTCATCATTTAATTGACAAACTTTAGTGCATATAGTAATTCATTTATAGAATACGTATATTTTTGCAGCCTGGTGGTGAAAACTTATGATATTTCCATCGTCAAGGAAAAGAAGATTAAAAATTGTTGCAAGTTATATAATGGATAAGCTTTCAAAAAAGTGATTGCTTTAACTAATTTAATTTTTATGGAAGAGATTAATTAATATGGCTTAATATGTTATTAAAATGTTATTAATATGTTAATTAATCATAAATATTGATAATTCACTTTAATTTGATCTTAACATTATTTATTTGAATGCTCTAAAAATTGTAGATTTTGTTGGTCAGAAATTTTTTCTGAAATTATTGATGATAGACTGTGTTTAATTCATAATTCATTAATTTTAATTGTGAATATATTAAAATATATATAATTTACAATGACCTTAAAATGTATGTAATGCTTAGTTGAGGACATTTTGCCTAGCAACAAGAGAACAGAAAGCAAGCCTTGTTTTCATTATAAAAAAGATGTCAAAATACACACAATATACAACATACACAAAGAAATAGAGTTGTTGCCGCAAACCCTCTTTTCCCTATATCTTTGCACCCTAATGTTGTAGACCTTTGACACGCAAAACTGTGAGATCTGTTAGACCAAACATTTGAAATATCAAAGGTTACGACAATGGATTGCAAATGGAGATAATTGGGATAAAATTGGTAATAGTGATAATGAAGGATATTTGAATAATGGAAATAAAAGGGATAATGGAGATAATTGGAATAGTGGATATAATCAAGATAATGGAGATATTGTGAAAGATGGAGACAGTGGGGAATAATGTAGATTATGAGAATAATGGTGATAGTTGGGATTATGGAGATAATGAAGCTAATGGAGAATAGTGATTCTTGGGATAATGCAGGATAGTGAGGATAATAGATAAAATGGGGATAATGGAAATAATAGGAATAATGGAGATAATGAGAATATTGCGGAGATAATGGGTATAATAGAGATAATTGTGTATACATATAGAGATAAATGCGTATAGTGGAGATAATTAAGCTAATAGAGATAATTGAAAAAATAAAGATAGAGGGATATTGGGGATTATGGAAAAAAAGTGATAATGAAGAAAATGGGGAGATATGTCTCTTAAACACGTTAAAACTAAAGGCTTAATCTCTCTAGGTGTACTATCCTGTTTTCCTGTTTTTAGTCTGTACAATAACATAAACTGTACTCCTTGTTCTAGGTTGCCTTTAAGTATGTGCGATAATTCAAATAAACCGGACTTTTCAGTGTAAGATACATGATAAACAATTCTATACTATAATAACATGAGCTGCTTAAGTCCTGTATAGGAACATGAATTGAAAGCAAAAAACAATTACACGAACAATTTAATCAATAAAATAAAACAATCACTAAGCCAAGATTAAACATTTTATGTTTTAGCAATCATGATCAAACTAAATTGTTTTAAGGTCACGCTTCAGATTTATTGGGTCCCTTAATTTCCATCCACAAAGTGTTTGAAGGGTTTACCATACAAAAGGAGGAGCTCAAATCTCATGTGCTGATTCTTTACTAAGTGAAGTCTCTTTGCATGTCCAACTTCTCCACAATAATCACAAGTGTGATCTATCCAGACACAAGTCTCTGTTTTATGATCAGAAAGACTGCATCGCATGCAATAAATTGTTAACCTACTTTCAGAAGAATCAATACTGTCACTATAGGGCATTCAGTGATTTCGGGTGATGTAGGGTTAGTTTTGGATGTGATATCAGCAGAGGCATCAAATTCATCTTTGATCTTCAGATCTGTCTCGGATAAATAAACATTGGAAACTCCTTTAATAACATCTGAGCAAGCATCTTGTTATAATTTTTATCCTTCCCTCCCTCAGTGGTGGCTGTAGTTATTTTACCTATTGTCCAAGACATAATGTCAGCCTTGATGTAATAATCAGGGTGGTTACTATAGAAGAACAGGCTTGAAGACTCAACTTGAAGTGTATTAAAAATTCTTTTTTCTTCACAAATTGCATTTCATCAGGCACCTTACAAAAAGTTATTATGCAATTTGTTTTCTAGAAAATGAATCATGATTCTAAAGATACAAAGAACAGCTACAGGGTTACCCACAAAGGATGAGAAACAAAAATGACGATTTGAAACCTAATTTTTAGTTTCTGCGTTTTGCGTTCAATAGAGCATTGTGATGATGGTTTACTAAATTATTAAGCACAGAAATATGCCATGGTTTAGGACGGCAAGGAATACTGACTGCTAGGAAACAGATTAAACAAATTCCACACAATCGTCTCTGAAGTCTCCTTCTTTGAGGGTAATCCAGTATAAACTATAAAGCCAGAAAACTGTGCCATGATTTTTGTCTTTGCTTTCTTGTTTGTTCTGATAATGATTTTTCACTAGGATTTTGTTATTTATAACTGATTTATTTCTAAAATGTTTTCTGAACTTTTTAAGATTTAAGTTTTAACAATTTCAAATTTAAAAATACTGAGGAAAATTTTATTCAAAAAAGATAAAACAAAAAACAGATTTCTGGATATTACTGAATTTTCTAAGAATTAAAAAAATTACTTTTATTTTGTCCCAAGCTTTCACCTAAATGTTAAAAAAAAGGGTAAATTAAATCACCAGCAACAAAATCTAAAGTCGAAAAAAAACTATAAATTGAACATTGCTTTTTTATTATTACCTGTCTATTTTTTACTGCAGGTTGAGAACTTGATGGTTTCTTCTGTGAGATCATTTTAACATTCCTGGCCAAATAGAGAAGCTGTTCAGCAACTTCGGAGGAAAATGAAATTTCAATTTCACCTAATTTGTTCTCAGAGAACAATAAACTCAACTTCAGCAGTCTTTGAAATTTTGCTCTTGGTAGAGCTTTCCAAGAGAAATCAGAATCATATAAAGGAATTGAGTCTTTGCCACAAACTCTGATTTTCTAATCACTATATCTTTGGAACCAAATTTTGTGGACCTTAGATATTTCAAACTATGAGTTAGGTTAAATCAAATAATCAGAGTTTGAAATATCAAAGGTTTAAAACATCGGGTTCTAAAGATATTGGGGTTTAAATATTTGATTTTGTTACAAAGACTCAATTCCATTTCTTTTTAAAGTTTCCCTGTAAGCTCTAAAAAAAGATATTGAGAGTTGAATTTTGATTAATCAGATATGTGGTTCCTTACCTAAATATTAATACTGATAAAAATTGTCCTTCTAAACGCAATGACACCAAATGGGAGGCCGTTAGAGCTTCCAGAAAAAAAAATTGTTATTTTTTTTTCAGAAAATCTTGCAGTTTTATTTGCTTTAAGTTTGGATGTATTTCTTTGAGGTATGTCAACAAAATTCCAAACATTTCTCTTCCATTCCTTGCCTGTAGATACTCTAGAATATCATCAAAAAGCTCTGAATTGTTTTAATTAATCATTGTTAGAATTATCTTTTTAATTCTTTCTAAAACATTATTGTTTTAATAGTGATGTAAAGACTAGAATAATAAAAAAAAACTTCCTTGTGTTTGGTCAGTTGTTTCATTAGATTAAACAGTACAAATCATTGTGGATGCGTAAGATTCAATAGGACTGAAATCCAATGAATCTACATCACTATCGTCTTCAATATTTTCAGTCTGGATGTCATCAACCACATCTCTTATTTCAGGAACAGATAAACAAGTTGGTGAAGTTAAATAATCTTCAATGTTTTCCTGAGAAGTTAATTCAGTTGAACTGTATCCTCTTAGGTATACAATGATGCTCTTTTTAAATACATTTGGACTCAACATGATCACTTGCTCAAGACCATCTTCTTTTAGTTCAGGACAAGATGTCAAAACACTTTTGTAAGTATTACTAAAAATATCCATTTCAGAAGATGCACTTAAGTAATTCAAAAAGAAAGGCGACAGGAGAAGTTTTAGTTGAACTCAAATCTTCTGGATTCATATCAGAATTATAGGTTTTAGAAATTTAGTTTCTATAATTGTTTCCCCTAAAGTGAATAGATGGGTATTTTTCTTGACAATACTTTCAATGACCCAGACATTTAGCTCAGGATACATGGGTGAAATGTTTTCAAGAATGGATGTAAGAGAACATACTCCATCAGACATCCGTAGGTGATCTACGACGGAGTTGAATACTTTGCCATCAACCACAGGATACACAAAGAATAATCTTATATTAAAGTCAAAATAAAATGATAAATTTGCATTCAGTTCTCCATCTGAAATATTTGGTGGATTTAGTTAATGTGCTGCAAATTGAATAATTCTCAAATATTCATTTTCTCCGATGAAGTTTGAAATTAAACAGTTGATTACCTTTATTGTGAAGCTTCCTAATGTTCTACTTGTTTGACTTGGTATGAAAGAGCTGAGATCCTGTTGGATTGAAATTAATCCCTGTTTTATTAATAGAATGTACTCTCAGGTTTCGTACACTAACACAGTATTTAGAAATATATGAATCAAATGCCTCATTTTGGGCTATATTTGAATCTAAATCAGACTATTCGGAATTATTTGTTGGAGTTACACTTAATAGGAAACAAGTCTCAACAAACGCCATGTTTTGTGGCTGAAGAGTTATTTGACCATCGTCTTGGCATAAAAAGAGAGAAGGATGGTTAATTATGTCAGGAGGTAGCTTTGAATAGTGTGTTGTGCCTTTACATATTTTACCAAATTAAGAATGATCTTGTGAATCCGCCGTCTTACTGAAAATGAAGAAACATCAAAATAAATAAATCATTTTGATAAACATGATGAAATGAATATTGAATACATTTTTACTTTTAAGTCCAACATTCGGAACAGAGGCTTCTGTGTTCTGAAGAGTGGGACGAACTCCTGTATTCTCTAAAGTACTAGTTCCTGTATTCTCTAGAGTGCTTTCTCCTGTATCCTCTAGAGTACTAGCTCCTGTATTCTCTAGAGCACTAGCTCCTGAATCCTCTAAGGCACTAGCTCCTGCATTCTCTAGAGTACTAGCTCCTTCATTCTCTAGAGTACTATTTCCTGTACTCTCTAGAGTACTAGCTCCCGTAATCTCTAGAGTACTAGCTCTTATATTCTCTAGAGTATTGGCTCCTGTATTCTCAATACTAGCTCCTGTATTTTCTAGAGCACTAGCCCCTGTTTTCGCTTGAGTACTATCTAGACAACTAGCTCCTGTATTGTCTAGAGTACTAGCTTCTGTATTCTCCAGAGTACTAGCTTCTGTATTCTCCAGAGTATTAGCTCCTGTATTCTCTATTTTACTAGCAGTAGCTTCTGTATTCTCTAGAGTACTAGCTTCTGTATTCTCTAGAGTACTAACTTCTGTATTATCTAGAGTACTAGCTCCTGGATTCTCTAGAGTACTAGCCATAGATAAAGATAGATTGCGCATAAGACAACATTTTTCATCTTGAAAGATATAAATGTACAGAGATGTTTTAAAGATATTCCTATTATATAGATTAACTAGGTCGGTTGTGAACATTGGCTGTTCTAATGTCATTGAGTATTTGTGGTGTACATGAGTTCTGTAAAAAGAAATTTAAGTTAGTTTAGTCCTTCCCATGTCCTTCTTCATTTCTCGTCAATATCACATATTGCTCAGTGAAATAATTTGATATTCTCGAAATAAAATTCACTCCTGAGTGGTTTAATAATTATGAAATCCATTAAAACACCAAACCACCCCGCTTATCATTGAAGTACACTTTAACCCCTAGATGTATGAGTTCGCGGACTGTACAATTCTTGGTGATTTTACGAACATAAGCTATCTATGTTTATTTATTTATATATGGTACTCAGGGAACAGGAATAAAGGGAAAGGAAATGGCGCTTGTCCGGCAAGAGAAAGCCAGTCGCACTGCTTTGCAGACCAGTACAGTAAACTTACAAACACTCTTCTGGTACAGACACACAACATGACTGCAGTCAAGGAAATTGTAGAACAATGTCGTTAATTATAATTAAACTTGAATAATGAGTAGTTTATTGTAAACTTTAATCAAATTATATTCTTTGCATGAAAACTTGGCTTTATCGTGTTGACTTAAATATGTAAATAATATATTACGTGTTATAAACATATGTTTAAGTAAACAATTAACAATAAACAAATGTACTCTCCTAGACTGTACAAATACCGAGATTCTTACGTACTGTTTAAACCTACAGTACACAACTTTGGTACTTTAAACTGACACACACTGTTTTGGTACAGACACACACACATGACGTTTCCGCCCCCTGATGGTACTAGCTCCAGTATTCTCCAGAGTACTAGTCTTTCTTAATAGTTGGCTTTTAAATATAAAATAGTACATATTCATGCTTTGGCATTTAAACTGTTTATTATTCCTGCTTAACTTGTATAAATTGTCATTTTATATGTTTTGTTTTGATTTTATAAATGATTTATTCTAAATAAAGAAAATTGCTGCAAACCAAAAGTCAAATTCTAAAATACCTCTTCCCTTTGAGGAGAATTTTAAGAAATGTTTCTTAAACCAGCTCTCTTAATATACACATTAGTAGTGGCAAGAAATGGTTTAACCCGTGATATTTCAGTCCTTTCTCTAATTCTCTAATAGTCGGTTTGGTCTGGATTAAGTACCAAACTTTGAAATTTAAATAAGAATATCTTTTAATTAACATCCTAATTATTGTTGAACATTTTGGATTATTCCTTCTTTATAACATTTTCCCCTTCTTTTAAACTTTTTAATTTTTTTTTATTTTTATACTTTTTCCTTCTTCTTCACACTTTCCCTTTTTTCTTTGTGTGTAAAAAGTTTTTAAAGACTAATCAGAAAATTTAAGAAGTTTGATTTAATTTGAAAAATTAAATAATTGGTTAACATTAAAATTTATCTTGCATAAATGGTAGGTTTTTCGAGTTTATATGTGTTTTTAGGGTGTTAAAGCTAGGGGCGTACGAGCGGGGGTGCACGGGCACACCTACGCATTTCTTGCTTCAGAAACGACGGAGAAATGAAGGTTTAAAGGTACATCGACATACCACTCTATAAATGGAAGAACACTTTAAATAACGCATGTATTCCATCTTAGTATAATTACATCATAAAATAAAAAATACTTAAAAATCGTACTTTTGCCCTTAACTAAAAGAGTTTCATCAAAAAAAACTTTAATCACAACTGCCTTTATTTGATAGCTTTGTTGTCACGTTAAATAAGGCCCCCCTATCCCCCCTACGTCCCATGCCAGGAAGTTGAATAGCAAAGACGAAGAGAAAGAGAAGAAAAGAACGCGGCATCTTTAACAGAATGCGCTAATGCCAATTTATTAAAACAGCGGCCCAGGCCCGGAAATATTAATAATTAGTTTACAGTTATATAGTTCATAGTTCCTTACTTCTGCTAATGGTTAAAAAGTTTTAACATCCGACTTAAATTAACTATTTGTAGATCGGATGATAATTTTTCATAGTTCCGATTGTTTACGATATCTTATAAATATGTTACATGTAGTTAAAATGTGGTTGCAAAGAGGTTCTAGATGCGTATCTAGAGGTGCCAGACTTTTCCGTTCCCCGGCTATATCTGGAACCAATATATCTTTAGGTAATTTCCTAATATACGAGTTTTAGACCCCGGCCCCCCCTCCTGTCAATTTTGCACATGGAACTAAAATGCAAGACGTAGATATAATTGACCATGTGGCAGCAGCGCCCGGCCCCCTAGCCTGTCCTAGCCACAGCGGTCGGCCCCTAGCCTGTCCTACCCGCAGCAATCGGCCCTGAAAGTGTCTTAACCTAATCTAACCCTGAATATATACTAATTTTGTTGAAAATTGTTGAAATTTCAGTAAATTCCTAGAGAACGATTTTTGGACCCCCCCTCAGCCCCCCCTCCTATCAATCCCGTGGCCGCAGCGCTCGGCCCCCTAGCCTAGCCTTGCCGCAGCGCTCGGCCCAGAAAGTGTCTTAACCTAACTTAAGCCTAAATAATATTAGATAAATACTCATTTACTACTTTCGTCATGTACAAAATTGATAGGAGGGGTCCAAAAATCGTTAACTAGGACATACCCGAAATTTCTTCTTCTTCAAACTTTTATGAACGAATTAATGCAAATACATTTTAATGAATATATGGTTAGAATTTATATATAAGAAATTGCTTAATTCAATTTACTCTCTATGTTTATAGTTTTATGAGATCAATAATAACAAAATCATCCCTGTTCTGACAAATACTAAATTAGGGCTTTGTGCCAATAGATACTGCTGCAATTGAATAAAACTGGAAAAAAGAACTTAACAGATACGGTTAAAAGCACACAAATATTCTGGAATTATTATTGGATAGGAAAAACTGAAGATTATAAGATTGATCTCAAGACTTATCGTCATGATTCTTGGAGGATTTACAATTACAAGATATGAGTATCGGATGGATAAATTTCATCGGATATATGCTGAGATCAAGATTTATAAATTTGGACAATAAATAACAATTTAATAACATTGAACTTGTGTTACAGTTTGAAATGACCCCGTTCCATGATTTAGTTATCCTATGACTTGACGCCATGATTGAAGAGTTGAAGAACATTCGTTCAATAAGAATGGATATAGGCTTTAGAGTTTCATGGGATATAGGCAAAGATGGATATGCTGATTAGATACAAAATAAATTTAATTAAATTGGATGCCAGACATATCAACTTTCAGATATTAAATTTTTCAATTTTTCCATTTTTGTAAAAATATTTTACCGAGAATGTCAAAAAACTGGACAGTTATACGAAATATTTGCCCATATACTTCTCATGTGATTAACGCCATTATTATGCATTAGGTTGTTAAAATTGAAGGCCGTTTGTCCTAGACGCAACGCTCGGCCCATAAATTGTCTTAACCCTACCTAACCCTAAATTAAAACAAAATTACTTAAATTCATGCACATGTGCAAAAATGATGGGAGAGGGGGGGATCCTATCTTTAAGTAAAGGTCTAGTATTTGTATTCTGGGATGGTTGTGTTTGTTAAGTTGTAATTTGTATCATAAAATCTGCACTATGTTAGATCAAGAACCTTTTATGAAACTAACCTTTAAATACTAGCAACTGAATACAAAGGAAACATCCTCAATACCACTACTTCTTCATGGCCTGGAGAAGAGGAGGAATAGTATAGTTTTTTTTTCGGAATAGTATTCAAACAATATTCTTATTAAAGTCATAGGGTAAACCAGTCATCATACAAGAAATGAATAAATGTGTTAGTTTTAGTAATTCAAACTACATAACAATCACTATCAATGATAGTAGACCTCATTTCTTGAAAAATTATAATTAAAAGAGTGAACATTAGGGTTAAAAAGAGAAAAATTCTAAATAAAAAAACAATAGTACCCCCCCCCCCCCATAAAACACTTAAGTGTGTTTTATAAATTGTTTTTGTTGGTGAGTTTTTTTTGGCTGGTTTTTTTTATGCCAACCCTGATTTTGATCATGACCACTAATTTTCTGCAAAATTATTATTATTTATTTTGTATTATTTGTATAAAAGGTTGCTTCCTCTCGATGCGCTCCAAACAGAAATGACGTCTCCTAAGATAGATAGATAAGATATTTAGGAGAAATATTTAAAAGAAATATTTACAATAAGTGCTCATGGTATTTTAATAACCATCGAATACTAAACTGAAAACGACCTTTTGTCACCTACCTGGTGCTAAACGTTTAATCTAAGAGATGTGCCAAGGATTAAGTAGAACTCGTAAACTCTTTTTGTCTGTTTCTATGTCCGATCATAACTCTAAAACCCCTTGACTGATATGCCTCGAAAGTCAAGTTTTGATTGGTACACTAGTTAGAACCACCAGAATATTCTCAGCTTACTTTAAAAAGTTGTAAGTTTGTTTCCAGGCAAATCTGGGTTCCAAAGCTAAAAAACAATTTATAATTTAACGCTTTTAATTTTAACATAAATGAGGGGGTGTTTATAATTTATATAGTTTATAATCTGAAATTTTTCCTTTTTATAAAATATAAACTTTTTTAGGATCTTTCCAGCAATTATCAAGTAGTCCTATTTGTCAAGTGTCTCCCAGAGAAAACCTTGAGAAAGAAAGTAAGAAAGAGAATGAAGAAACAAAAGAGAAACCGAACGAAGCAGACGAAGAGGAGGAATTAAAGAATAGAATATTATCAGCTGGTTTATCACATGTCGGCAAGCATGGATGGACGAGACTGGCTCTGGCTGCCGGCGCCGAATCGGCCGGATATATTAGTGTTGTATCGGGACTGTTCCCCCGGGATGAAGAGTTGGTATTTTACCATATTAGTGAGTGCAATTCCAGGCTGGATACATGGATGGAGGAGCAAATTCAAGAGTATAAGGTAACTTTTCTTTTCAGACAGAACTCCAGTACTTTTAAATCTATTCTGATGAGGCTCCGGTAAAAACTTGATCCAATGATACTTAAATTTTATATCTTTGCAACCTGATGTTGCTAACCTAACTTAAACCATGAATTTTAATTGATCTAACTGTCAAATTAATTGATCTAACTGCAGATGTGTATTTTTGTGGTGTTTTATGTGTTGTGTGTTTATGTGTTGTGTGTTTATGTGTTGTGTTATGACATGTGTTAAAACTCAACAGAGTTTATTTAACATTATTTTGTAATCTCCTTTTGCGTTTATTTAACATTATTTTGTAATCTCCTTTTGCGTTTATTTAATATTATTTTGTAATCTCCTTTTGCGTTTATTTAACATTATTTTCTAATCTCTTTTTGCGTTTATTTAACATTATTTTGTAATCTCCTTTTGCTTTTATTTGATATTATTTTGTAATCTCCTTTTGCGTTTATTTAACATTATTTTGTAATCTCCTTTTGCGTTTATTTGATATTATTTTGTAATCTCCTTTTGCGTTTATTTAACATTATTTTCTAATCTCCTTTTGCGTTTATTTGATATTATTTTGTAATCTCTTTTTGCGTTTATTTAACATTATTTTCTAATCTCCTTTTGCGTTTATTTGATATTATTTTGTAATCTCCTTTTGCGTTTATTTAATATTGTTTTCTAATCTCCTTTTGCGTTTATTTAATATTATTTTGTAATCTCCTTTTGCCCTTATTTAATATTATTTTGTAATCTCCTTTTGCGTTTATTTAACATTATTTGTAATCTCCTTTTGCGTTTATTTAATATTATTTTGTAATCTCTTTTTGCGCGCGAGTCTTATTTTATTTTAAAAGATTAAGATTTTGACAGTTGTCAAATTATTTCCTGATTTTAAGAGTAAAAATGAGAAGATCCCTATTGGAAAGTTTATCAAGTCTGCGGTCTCTAAAAGGTTGGAAATGAACCAGGAGTTTATTAAAACTGGAAGATGGTCGGAAGCACTGGCTTTGATGGGTAAGCCTCAGGTATACTTTTTTGTTTGTTTTAGATAAAAAATCTAAAATATTTAAGTTTATGACTTACTAAGTCATATTGTGTTTGTTCATAAAAGAAAGTAAACTCAATAAGAACCCCCTTAAAATTAGTAAAAAAAATTGCTTCAGATAGTTAAAAGTCGTTAATAAAGAATTAAAACTCTAGCTCAAATATCCATGATAAACATAGGAATATGTTTGATTTAATTTTTTGACCTTTTCATCTATATAAACTAAAATATTTAGTATGCTCAGACCTAATATAATGAATTTGAGCTAGGTCCTTGAACTACTTTCTGCTGGTTCAAATCTTAAATAACCTATTCAAAGTTCTTGAGGATTTGATTATGTGATTCAAGTTTTTACCGGCGGTAAGAAGTTCAGCGACCTCTCCAATTCATTAAATGCGGTCCCAGTAAATTCATATTTTTAGAATTTGAGTGAATCTGTAAGTTTACTGCAGCAGCTTTGTGATGATATTTGGTTCAGGTAAACAGAAACTCATTTGATGAATACTTTAGATGGTTCAAGTTCAAAATTCAGATTTAAATTGATGATATTATGATTATACCTTTTTTACCATTTTTTCCTGCTTTTATCCTTGTTTTTACTGCCTTTGTATTTCTAGAAGACACGGTGGGGTTACGTTCAAAGTTAATCACATAAAAATTCTCAGGAAATAACAATGATATATATATATTATGTATATATAGATAAATATTATTTCTGTATTACTTTTTTTGGTAGAAACATTTCTTAGATGTATAAATGGAATATTAAAGAATAATATTTTCTGTGTTAACTTAAATTAAAATTGTACTGTACTGTTTTCTTAGCCTTGTACTGTACACTGATTTGGACTAAATCGAACTAGAAAGTACAAACAATGAGCTAGACCGTAGAGTGTACAGTGTACACACTGAATTTTACTGTACGTGAAATTGACTATGCCTTAATCATTTTGTACTGTGCAGTGTGTATTGTACAGTACTGAATAAATACTGTTAATTGTACATTGTATAACCTAATTGTACGGCACCTAGGGCTGGAGATAAATCAGCGGATATGAACTGGTATAGTAAAAGGGTGTTGCTAGCTGGAGTTATATCTTCTACAGAATTATTTATGCTTCAGGACTCTTCACCACAGTTCAAGGTTTTCATACAATTGATTTGATTTGATTTTTTGTTTGGTTGGATCAATTTTTTTAACATTTGAATGATTGGATGATTTGTTGAATGTGATTGATTGATTGATTGGTTGGTTGCTTTAATATTTTTATCATTTTCAGGAAACCTGGAAATTTTTGGATCGAAGATTTGAAGATATAGCAGGAATTCCTCAGCTGGGGAGTCTTCCACAGGGAGCACTGGCTTACATTTTCTAGAATATTCTTTTCAGATTTAATTCCCGTCATCTTGGTATATGCTGTTCAAATATCGCTATATTTTTATTCTTATTTCCATAACATACCTAAAGGGGTGTAATTCAAGAATTTGTATGGAGGGGTTAGAGACTTAATTTTTTATTCTTTCTATTGGGGGGGGGGGGGGGGGGGTCTCAGCACTCTTTTGGGCCCAAAAACCCCCTGAAAACCATAGATTTTACTGGCCCGGGGGGGGGGGGGGCAATTCCCTTACCCTTTCCCCCCTCAAAACGCCTCTGCATATCTTTGAAACTGATGATTTTTTATATCTAAAATTTGCTCTATTTTTTAAAGTATAAAAAGCTAGAAACGAATTGCTCAGGATTTGGTGGGAATAATCTTAGGCCTGGCTGTAACTGCGAAAAATATCGCCGGAATACAAAAATAGGATAAAGTTTATCCTGTTACTATACTATTATTATTATACAGGGTTACCCACAAAGGATGAGACTGTAGAGACGACCTTATATTCTTATATGTGACAATTACAAGGTTGAATTAAGTCTTTGCTTGGAATCATAAATACAGAAGGAAGTAGACGGTATAAATTCCGTACAATCGGCTCTGAAGTCTCATCCTTTGTGGGTAACCCTGTACTAATCATTGCAGATCTGGTTCACTTCATTAATAATTATATTTCCCTCCCGAAAAATTTTGTCTTAAACTGTTAAAATTTATTATTAAATGTCTACGTTATTTTAATCTAAAGACTTAAAAATATTTATACCCTTAATAACATGTATTGGGTTAAGAGGGCGAAAGGACTATTGTATTACGAGAACAGGAGTGGTTTGCATCTCTGTCTTTATTTAGTTTCTTGGTTATTAACGTTTATCAATGGTAAAAGTCCAGAATTAATAAATAAAATTGAAAAAAAACATTTTAATGGAGTAAATTTTCTGTTAATCTTATCTTGCTATTTGGCTGTGATTAATAAACTTTACAGTTTTAAATTTAAAATTTGTTGTTCTATGAAAATGCGCAAAACAATTGATTTTGTTGCAGAAAAATGGTGGACGATCTTCCTGACAAGGTTTACGAGTGTGTCGGGGAGGTTGTTCAGCTCCTTGAAGGAGCTGCGCTGCTTCTTATGAAGGAAGGCAACACAAACTGCTTCTGTGGAGTAGAATTTAATAGTTCAAGGGTCAAGCTAGGAGACCCGGTCGAATTCAATGCCAGACTTGTTCCACAGGTAGTTCTGCTTTTAAAGGATAGTTAATTTATTAGAAAAAAAAACACTAAAAGCCATAATTTTTCCAAAATATCAATAAATAGTCGGAAACATCGCGTTAAACCTAGTTTTTCTGACCTTCAGAAACATATTTGAGCTTTGCTTAAAACTGCTTCACAAAAATTAATAGAAATGATTATGAAAATGATGATAATGATAATTTGTTTGTAGAGTTTACGTTTCCCCGAGATTCCCTATATATGCCGAGGTTTGTGGAGGGAGGGATCACGAGTTCCATCCACTCTTTTCCCGAGGTAAACCTTTAAACAGTTAAGTTGGTTCTCTTCAGTTCCAAGAAGAAGTTTAACGTAATCCGTTTCTACGACCCGTCCTTCATTCTTTAAAGTCAGAATGTTAAGAAATTTCAGGAAAAAATGAAATTTTGACATTTATGAAATACAAATTCAACGAGTAAATTTTCAATGTTTCGATAAATTATTGAGTTAAGCCATTTAGTTTAAATAATCTTAGCATAAAAAAAAATAATTTTCTAAAAGTTTTACATCCCCTAACTTTGTAGGTGCCATGAATAATGAATATCCGTAAATTACATGATAAGACTACATAGGATTGAGCGTTTACGCGTACCGGGCGTCTAACAAGTCGGTTTGAAAAAGCTCAAAGCTTCCACATATATGTAAAATCAATGAGTAAATCCCATCAATGCTGCATAGGCAGGCGGTCCGCGTCAACACTCCATCCTTCGTAGTTTATCCATTGTTAGTTTTTTCTTCTAGGAATTTGGAACCGTTTGTGAGGGAAGAACTAGCAGAGTACATTAAATTTGCTGGACTTATGAAGCAGAAAATACCAACAGAGTTCGAAAAATTTCTTGGGAAACCAGACTTTGAAGTATTAGGGTCTGTTCTAGCCATGCAGGTCAGCCTATAGGGTGTATATTTTCTTGAAAAACATTCCTTCTTTTTAAAATCCTTTTTTTTATTCCCTGTTGAAGTTAGGTATGCCCGAACGGAGCGGACATTGTGTTTAGGGTTTTATTAAATGGGGGAAATTGATGACTTTCAAGGGGCAAAAAAAGATATAATTTTTGGGTAAAAATGGATCAAGACCAGACCATTTAAAGCCCAATTTTTTATTTTTTCCCCAAGATCATCAAAAATCAGTACAATTCTTGAATTCATATATCCCTGCAATTATACTCAATTATTTACTTAAAAATTGATTATTAGTTGTATTTAATCCGGCTACCCATTTTTGTTTGTCGCTAATTTTTGTGAAATAAAAGACTTAAATCTTCAAATATCCCCCCCCCTTTCAAAATATGTACCCAATGGCCGAATTTAAAGAATTTGAGCGGTGGTTTAAATTTAAACCGCGGCTTAAATATGGTTGGTTCCACTTAAAATTGTATCAAATGTTTCAAGATTTAAGCCGGCGCTAAATTTAAACCGGGGTTTTGGCGGATTTAACCTGCGGCTCAAATTCTTTAAATTCCATCTCAAATTTAAAAATTTTGTTGCGTACCATTTTTAAAAAATATTTTTGGTTTATTTCAGGGAATAATCTCTACAGCCCCAGCTCCTTTTCCAGCTCCTATTCGGAGCACTGCCAGAGCATCCAGTTCATCAGACTCCGAAGATGAAGTGGAGAAGAAAAAAAAGAAGAAAAATAAAAAAGAAAAGAAGAGTAAGAAGAGTAAGAAAAGTAAAAAGAAGAAGAAAAAAAAGAAGTCCAGCAGTGAAGAAGAAGAAGAAGAAGTACAGGAGAATGATTCCAGAAAGTCTGGTCAGAAGAAAAAATTAGAAGAAGTTGATGTTCCACATCACCTAGGTATTTGAAAATTGAATTAAGATAAAAAATTTACTGTTCATGTTGCTCAACATTTTCGAAATAAATGTTTTCCTAAGTTTCCTAGAATTTGTTATTTCTAATTATAATGAGGGATAGCAATATTAATGATATAAAAAAGTAATGAAAATTATAAAAATGATTGTAGTGATGACAATGATGATAATGATGAATACCTTCACTACCATGACTACCATGACTACCATGACTACCATGACTACCATGACTACCATGACTACCATGACTACCATGACTACCATGACTATCATGACTATCATGACTACCATGACTAACTTGACAATCATGACAATTATGATTAGCATGACTATGATGAAAACAAAGATAATCATGACAACAATAACAATAAAGAAAACTAAGACTATCATGACAATAAAGACCATAAAGACGGCGACAACACGAAGTAAACAGCGACAACAATGATAATGACAATAACAATAACTCTGTTATAGTGCTCCACAAGTTGAACGACATGATCCAGGAGCTTGAAGGTCAAGTTAAACCTGAACAACGGAAACCGCAGCCTGATGTCAAACCTGAAGATCCGAAGGAACAACTCTTTTTAATTTTATTAGAATGCGGAACTAACATTTACTTTATTTACTCTGTAGAGGTTTGGTCCTTTATAATCACTGAAATTTAAAAATGATAAGAGTTGGTTCCAGGATGAAAATGTTATCAGTTATCCAAAGATCGGAGTTCAATATGATCCTAAACAAGTTAATGCTTGGTCTAATCTTAGAGGATTTCAGAATCCAGCTCAGGTATATATATATTCAGATTTATGGTGGCGAGGTTACGATCCAACCATCCTGGATCCTTCCAGAAGAAACTGGATCCTGATCCAACTTTTGAATATTTCTCAAAGTTTTGTTAATCTCTTTCACAAAAAAACTTACTAAATTTCCGTGTTTTTTTATGTTTTATGTTAGAAACTTAAGTAACCATCTTATTTATTGGTTTTAATGATCCTTCCTTTGTTTAATGTTTACACTAGAAATGTGTCATGAGCAAAAGTTTTTTATGCGTGTCGATAACTTTTTTTTAAAGGCTTAAAGGAAAGAACAAAATTTCTTACTGGTTAAAATTTTGATTTATTATTTCTTGAAAGCTGGTTGGATAAAATAACATATTTCGGATCCAATGTATAACACTAAGTGTTAGAAATGGGCAAAGTTTGCAAAGTTATCTTTTCCAAGCGTTTATATCTTTAAATCCAAGCCAAGTATAACAAAGCTATACCACATATTATAAATAATGGCTAAACCTAAATATGGAAACAAAAAAAGTCAACTTTAAACTAATAATAAGGTTTTTGATGATATTTGATTTCATTTTCGAACATATCACTATTTTGAAACAATTACCGAATTTCAGCTTTTGTCGCGTTTTCAGAAAATATCCTGGTTTGGGGACAATTACCGCATTTCAGCTCATGTCGATTTTTCGAAACATATCCTGGTTTTGAGACAATTACCGGAATTCATATCAATGTCAATTTTCAATTATTTACGCACTAACGTAACAAAACAAGATTTTTTGATAAGGTAAGATATAAACAAAATAGAAAACAAAAACATACTGTTCTTTAAAAATTAAAAATCGCATTTGATAAATCAAAAAAATTAAATTATTCTTACAATATAAACTTTAAACTCTCTTATTTTTCAAATAAAATGAGAAAGCTTAGACGTTAGAAAAAATTTAGCAGTTGATTTAGTCCTCATAAGATAATTTTTACTTTCAGTGATTTATTTTGTAATTTAGTTTATTTTGTAAATTGAGCTTTGGTCTGAATTGTGGATTATGCTCAAAAACTTTAAAGTGGGTTTTGTCTCGAAAACGCGACATTGGATTCAAATTCAGGATATGTTTTAAAATGGAAAACCTGACATTGTCTTAAAAACGGTCAAGAGGTTTAATATAAAAAGAACTCCTTTTATAATTTTGATTTTAGAAAATAGTTTTGCGAATTGTTGTCCTCGTCATGCTTAATAAAATGTTGGTTATAGTTTTTCTTCTCGACTTTTACTCTGCATATTGGCCGGGATCCTAAACACCCAGTCTTTCAATTTGTGGCCATTGTGCACTCAGTGTTAGAAATGGGCCAAGTGTTAGTTTTGGAACTAAGGTCCCCCGTAATAGTAATAAGATTGTTTAATTATTTCTAGAAATCCAACTGGTTGGGATTAACTGTAGCACCTGGAGCTGTTGTTAAACAAATTCCGTCTCTACCTCCTCAGCAAGAGGTAAAGTAGCCCAACGAATAAAAAATAAAGAATACAATGATGGTGTATCTTTCGACCTACGCACATCCGTTAAACTAAACTTCTGACCTACTCGCAAGGTATTCTACAGCTGCAAGTTGTACATAGTTGCAGCGCCCGGCCCCCTAGCCAGTCCTAGCCGCTGCCCCCGGCCCCTCAAACCTGCCATAGCAGCAGTGATCGGTCCAGAAAATGTCTTAACCCAATCTAACCTTTAAATAACACAGAAAAACAGCTATCGTGTGTCGGAAGGTTAGAAGGTCAGAAATTCAGTAGAGAAGTCGTTGTGTATAGACGATGTCACATTACCATTACATTAACATCAGTCCGTCATCAGATCCACAATTTCTTAGCTCCGTAGATAAACATATTAAATGAGATTTAAAATCTGAGGTCTGGATTATTTTGGAACTGTGTGGCCGTTAGAGAATTAGCCATACAATGTTTAACTACTTCTCACTATTTATTAAGTCTGACTGAATACTGGGTCTAAATCAAAATGAAGGGACTGTAATTGTAATTTCAAGTGACCCTTCCAAGTAAAGATGGCAAATGACAACGCCAGATTTACAACGGTACCCTTGAAACCTTTATCTGATCTAGTGTGGAAGATATCGTCGTTTTTCTAGGTTTAAAAGTGTATAATTTTGACGGTGCAAAAATATTTTTCTACACTAGATATGCGCTAGTCACTTTTTTGGAATAACCACAGTTGAAAATTATAAACATTGATTTTTAATTCATACTTGATTAGGCAAATCTTTTAAGGGTACCGTTGTGAATCAGAAAATGGCATCTTTTTATGGAGATTCACTTAAAATTACTCTTACTGTGTCTTTAATAGATCCCCCTTCCCCCGATGGTGTAATCAGGTACTTGTCCTGGGGTCAAGGGAAAAGGTTTCTTCTGAATTTTAAACTTTAAGAACTAAAACATTTTTTTTATATTGACGATGAATTATATTACGCTTTATCTAGTCAATGGAGGATAAATACAATCCTGAAAATAACTCTGAGGAGGA